GGCCGGACTATCTACGCCAAAGATTATCACGCCCACACCGCGTCCTGTTTAAAGAAAACAAATACGTTTTTTCCATCTCAAATAAATTCAGACAGTTAACTCGTTATCATCTGCCAGTAAAGCCATATATTTGTGTGCTTATTGCAACGTGCAGATCGCAGATTAGGGAATCGTGCTCAACACTTAGCGCAGCTTGCTTTAACGTTCAGCGATTCGAGTCAGGTACACAAAAGGGCTGAGTGGACTCACAGACGTCCTACAGGATCCAGCCTGAGACTTTCAGGCAGGCAGTTGTGTGCTCTGCCTCTTCACCATGCCTTCCCTATCAAAACTGACCACAGAGGATTTATATTCTCAGTTTTGCCATGCACTTATTTCTTCCTTAAAATGTAGAACCGGTGTAAAAATGTACAGTTATGTAAAGATAACTTCTGTGTACTAGCATCCCCGCGACAATAGTCTGAGCGAACAATGACTTATATCGGCCGTGTATGACCTCCATATATCAGACACTCACAGCTACCCCACATTCCAGACTAGTTGATGGTGTTAGTTGATACATCATAGACTCTTCTATGTTAGTTGATACATCACAGACTCTTCTATGTTAGTTGATACATCACATACTCTTCTATGTTAGTTGATACATCATAGACTCTTCTATGTTAGTTGATACATCACATACTCTTCTATGTTAGTTGATACATCACATACTCTTCTATGTTAGTTGATACATCACATAATCTTCTATGTTAGTTGATACATCACAGACTCTTCTATGTTAGTTGATACATCACAGACTCTTCTATGTTAGTTGATACATCACATACTCTTCTATGTTAGTTGATACATCACATACTCTTCTATGTTAGTTGATACATCACATACTCTTCTATGTTAGTTGATACATCACATACTCTTCTATGTTAGTTGATACATCACAGACTCTTCTATGTTAGTTGATACATCACAGACTCTTCTATGTTAGTTGATACATCACAGACTCTTCTATGTTAGTTGATACATCAGACTTGATACATCACAGACTCTTCTATGTTAGTTGATACATCACAGACTCTTCTATGTTAGTTGATACATCACATACTCTTCTATGTTAGTTGATACATCACAGACTCTTCTATGTTAGTTGATACATCACAGACTCTTCTATGTTAGTTGATACATCACAGAATCTTCTATGTTAGTTGATACATCACAGAATCTTCTATGTTAGTTGATACATTACATACTCTTCTATGTTAGTTGATACATCACAGACTCTTCTATGTTAGTTGATACATCACAGACTCTTCTATGTTAGTTGATACATCACAGACTCTTCTATGTTAGTTGATACATCACAGACTCTTCTATGTTAGTTGATACATCACAGAATCTTCTATGTTAGTTGATACATCACAGAATCTTCTATGTTAGTTGATACATTACATACTCTTCTATGTTAGTTGATACATCACAGACTCTTCTATGTTAGTTGATACATCACAGACTCTTCTATGTTAGTTGATACATCACAGACTCTTCTATGTTAGTTGATACATCACAGACTCTTCTATGTTAGTTGATACATCACATACTCTTCTATGTTAGTTGATACATCAAAGACTCTTCTATGTTACTTGATACATCACAGACTCTTCTATGTTAGTTGATACATCACATACTCTTCTATGTTAGTTGATACATCACATACTCTTCTATGTTAGTTGATACATCACATACTCTTCTATGTTAGTTGATACATCACAGACTCTTCTATGTTAGTTGATACATCACAGACTCTTCTATGTTAGTTGATACATCACATACTCTTCTATGTTAGTTGATACATCACATACTCTTCTATGTTAGTTGATACATCACATACTCTTCTATGTTAGTTGATACATCACATACTCTTCTATGTTAGTTGATACATCACATACTCTTCTATGTTAGTTGATACATCACATACTCTTCTATGTTAGTTGATACATCACATACTCTTCTATTTACATTTTAGTGCCGTTTTAAGACGAGTGTAGAGCTATATTGTTATATCCTAAAATTCCTTTCGAAAAAAAGTAATCTCTTGCATGTCCGTAGATAAGACGGCACCTTTTATGTCAGTATGTTAAAATATAAATCACAATTTGCACATATCCATGTAAATGTTAGTGTCAGTATGTTAAAATGTATAACACAACCTGCACATGGTCATGCACATCATAATGTCAGTATTTTTATCGCTTTTCAAACTATCATATCTTCGGCACTCTTGGATATACGGCATACCGTGTCACCTTGACCTTGACTTATATAACCGCAACATCTTTGAGCGTGCTTTTCAAAGGAACAATTTGAAAAATGGTTATAGTCTCTAAGCAGTAATGAACTAAAGACTATATACTCTTCATTCTAATATTTCAAAGTGATTAGCCTTAATAGTATTAAGCAGAGGAATATACATTTTGAACAATAAAATAAGTGGAAAAATAGATTTCTAACAATAATGTATAAAGAGTATAGACTATGAAGAGTATAGACTTAAAACAGTGTGAAAAAGCGTGTAAACTTCAGGTGACAATGTAACGCAGAACTAGGACTTCTTCTTCTTTGTCCTTAATTTTTTAGTGTTGGAAGAGATCGAGGCTTGTCTGCCAGAGAGTTTGAACTCGAGACTATTTCGAATTTATCAACCATGAGCTTTTTTTGCCGACTCGACCACGCCTCCAACACAAATTAAGGATACGTGTCAACTAGTTATGCGCCATTGAGGCCGTTGACTCCGATTTCAGCCTGCTTTTCTTTTTGGATTTGCTTCTATAGCCTTTTTTCCAACCAAGAACAAACTACAAGACAGCAGTTGTTTGATTTTGGAGTTTTCTCTCCTAGAAGAGTAGCTGTCCCTAACTAACGAGCCTCATCTGCCCGAGGGTTCGAAGTCGAGACTAATTGGTTTAGCAACCATGATCTTCACCGACTCGACCACGCCGACCCATAGAACTAAGACTTATTCATTAATGTAATGAATTGAGACTTATAATTCAGACACCGAATGTATGCATGAAACCTTGTAACGTTACAGCTGGGTGATGTGTTAGATGGATGAGAACATCTATGGGCGTCTGCCCGACCCCCCACGCTTCCTGGTCGTGTCTCCCCCCTGTTCACCTCGAGCGCATTCACCTGCCGGGTTACGTAACAGATGCCGTACAAAGACGCCCCGGTCTATGACGTCTGCTCTTTGAGAGTTTGACGACCTCCAGCACCCACCCCGTTCCACCCAACACGCTTCTCATGTTCGATAGACCATAGCAAGAAATGACAATACAGTTGGCACTTGATGTCGGTCGGTTCTGATATATCTCCCGTTTGCATACTTACACAGCCAGCGGCGTAGCTATACTTCGGGGCGCGATATATATATATATATATATATATATATATATATATATATATATATATATATATATATATATATATATATAATCAGAGGCGTCACTAGGTCGGTGCCACCCGGTGCGGCATTTCGTGGTGTCACCCCCCAATGAACAAAGTTTATATATATTCATGAATATATATATATATATATATATATATATATATATATATATATATATATATATATATATATATATATATATATATATATATATAACTGTATTTACATGCACTGCACCCCTCGCCATTGTCTCCATATTCAACATAGGCACTAGCAACACATAACAAGGTAGACACTAAGATGTGTAGTCATTTAATTATTTTGCCTAGTTGTGTTTGCTTCTGTCATTTATTAACACCCCCACCCCCTCGCCCCGCACCCTCACATGTTGCAACTGACATCTAGCGTAAGGCTGAGGCTCCCTGTGTCCGTGTAAGTCCCTCCCTACCCTCCCACTGAGACAGTCCCTGTCTACCTGACGAGTTTGCCGGCCATCGTTTATATGTCCGTGACATTAGGGATTAGGGGCTTTTTATTTAATTTTATATACACGCAAATAGCAACGTCTATTCTCGGAATTTTTTTTTTAAGCAGGTCACTTTGGTGCAAGGGTGATTAATAATTTTTATTTTGAAATTCTTTTTCACCGAAAGTCTACGTGTAGTTCATAGTATCGTTGTTTAGTATCATTTTATATGCCTCGCTCATAACCTGTTGTATGGACTGTCTTTTGTTTAAATTAACATAAAGTAAGCTACACGGGGCCGACATTGCTTGACGTCATATAACTGCTATGTCTTAACCACTGTCACCTTTATCCAATGTCAAGGATGTCTTAAAACTGCGAAGGGACCATTGCGGACTCGTTTTTTTTTTCCGGGAGGCTCTAGTAACTATTTATACTTTATCGCAGCTTTGTTACTTTAACCCCCCCCCCCCCCTCTCCCACCCAATTAATGTTCTCCACTTAAGCCCATGTCTTAAATCGTGGTCTGTTGAACGTCATAGCGTAGCTTGTCTGATTTAATAAGACGGTGGGGGAAAGAATGTCCCGTCCCCCATCCCCCCTTCTTTATCCTACTTCTGTACAGGAATTCATGTGACCGCTTTTAGTGGGGACAGCGTGCTGATGATGCAGCTAAGGGAAGCCACTCATAAATTACACGAGCTATATTGCTATTCTATATGCTTTGATTTATGTGTTTAAAACAAATTTGTTTGAGCAAAAACAGAAATGCGTGGATCAGATCGACGAAAAACAACCCATTTTAATCTGTATTGCATGTTTCATAAAGTGATATTTGTCTCGAGTTCGAATCCCGGTTCAAGTTAGTAGAACGTCTCTGAACCCACCCAACTCTATAAGTAGCTAACTCTTTAGGGAAATTAAAGACGGCTGGGCATAATGCTGACCACACTATCCCTTCATATGCCGAGGTCACAGAAACAGGTGAACGTTACTTCACTTGCCCCATGGCCCATCAGATTCGAAAAGGGAACTTTACTTTTACATGACTGCACGTTTCACAGTGTGCTATTTGTTTTGTTGTTTCAGCATGAACAGGAAAGCATGGACCAGATCCTAGAGGGGTTGTTGGAGTCCCAGCAACCAGATGGGGTCAAGGTTGCCATCATCAGCCGTATCTGTGACCAGGGTACACAGCAGAACCATCCTGTCAGCGCCATCAAAGGGGTCTTCCAGGTGGGTTGGTGGGGTTTATTTTAAGGGGGGGGGGGTCTTCCAGGTGGGTTGGTGGGGTTTATTTTAAGGGGGGGGTGTCTTCCATGTGGGTTATTGGGTTTTATTTTAAGGGGAGTGTGTGTGTGTGTGGGGGGGGGGTCCTTCCATGTGGGCTTTATTATAAGGGGTGGGGGGTCTTCCAAGTGGATTTTATTATATGGGGTGGGGGGTCTTCCAAGTGGGTTTTATTATAAGGGGTGGGGGGTCTTCCAAGTGGATTTTATTATATGGGGTGGGGGGTCTTCCAAGTGGGTTTTATTATAAGGGGTGGGGGGTCTTCCAAGTGGATTTTATTATAAGGGGTGGGGGGTCTTTCAAGTGGGTTTTATAATAAGGGGGTATTTCAGGTGGGTTGATAGTTTTATGTTAATGTGGGATTTCAGGTGGGCTTGTGGCATTTATACATGTTCAGGGGGGTCTTCTAAGAATAACTAGAACATCAGGCTACTGCCTCTAATGGGTTATGTGTGTAGCCACTCTTTTTAGTCTCAGTTTCACAGCCCTTATGAAGATATGTTGAGATTAGGGTGATGGCATGGTTGGAGGGTCAATGAACTTTACCTGTGTCTTTTTCCAGGTGAGCTGTAAATGGGTACTCCATGGCACCACCGCCCTGCAGGTGTCCTCTGGCTTTAAACTCCTCAACACCTGGGGTGTCCACAACCTGGAGAGTTTTCTCAGCTTCTTCACACCTGAGTTTGTCAGTCAGGTCTTAAACCCAGGCTACGGGACTGATGCCAATGTTCCCTTGTTGATACGTGAAGGTGGGTTCACTGTCTTAGGTGGTACTAAATAATGGTTAGAGTTCAACCATCATATGTAGTCCTAGAAAGGTTTGAAGGTTATTTACTATATATCATCCTAATTGGAACTTAAGCATCAGCCATCACATATATTTAATTTTTTTTATAAAGGATGTGTTAAATAAAAATATTTTTTCCAAGGTATGATGTTATATGGTTTGTTTTCTTTTATTAGGTTATGTATTAAAAGTTTCTTATTTTATAACTGCTGGCTAAATGAATATGTTAGTAGTAATGCGAAACCTAAAATAGCACCTTTTGAGTTTACCAAAACACATTAGATATTTTGCTAAACTTTTATAGCCATATAATTTCTAGTTAGCCCTGTTAAATTATATACCCAGCCTAACTTGTAAGCTTTGTTATGGGGGTGGGTGTAGGGTGGCAGTGGATAATTGTACAGAAATAAATTAAAGTGTCACATGAAATTTTAAATCTCACTTTGGTTCAGTGACACCCTCAGTAATTGAAACATGCTTTTTTTTTTTCTCTTTTTTTAATCAAATACCATGTTCAGCTTAAATTTGAAAGGCTTCTTTTCAAATTCCTGCCTTTCAAAATGCAATGGATTTAATTCATGATTGGGATTTTTGTTTAGTATAGAAAAATGAATTTAAATTTCAGTTAACAAAACAATTATTTTTTTTTTGCTGTATTTGAAAACTAATTTATATGAGATTAACTTTTGATGATAACTTTACAAATCCCAGTGTGAATATAAAGAAAAAAATTAAGTCACAAGACAGCTTGAGTTAAGTGCTGGAGCACACAATCAAGAATGGGACAACATGGTCGAATGGTAGCGCATACAATGGCTAACCCAAAAGTCTTGAGTTCAAAACTGGGTTTGAATCAGTAGAATGTCCTTGAGTCCACCCAGTTCTGATGGGTATCTGACTCATGTGTTTGGGAAAATAAAGGTGGCTAGGCATGGTGCTGACCACATTGTATTCTCTTTTTTTATGCCAGTCACAGAAACAGGGGAACTCTTAGTTGCCCCATGGAACATCATGGTTTGAAACTGAAACTTTACTTTTAAACAACCATGAACAGATAACTCCAAGTTTAAAAAAAACCTCTCCAGGTTTGCGTGTGTTGAGCCACATGGATCCGTCTTGCTACGTGGACCACACCCTGGTGGTTCAGAGGAACATCACCAGGTTCATCACTGGCACCAGCGACTGCCTGCTGGTGCGCAATGTGGGGCTGCTGCTCTCAGAGTTCACAGACTGCATCCCCACCGTGGAGACCAACATCAGCAATTTTTGCTTAGCGGTGATTCACCTTCTTAGTGTAGCTATGCAGCCCACGGATGGGAAGGAGGTGAGTGGTCACCACATTACACCACTCTGCTTGTTTGTGTGTATATATAGAGATACTAGCCATCAGTACCGGTTTAACATGAATTATAGGTCTATATATTTTTAATGTTGTACATTTTTTAGAAGAATATTATATAAAATAGTTATTGGTCAAAACGCAATGTGCTTTACTACAGGTTTAACGATATTAGTGATAAAGCAAAGAAATAACTAAATAGCTAAAAGTCCGACACATTTAAAATAACATAGGCTACTAATACCTATTAGAAAAAATAGAACCAAATTATATACATAATTAGTCAACACAACACCATATTAAATGCACACATTGATTAAAAGACTTAAATGATTCTGTTAAAAGCCCGGCTTTTCAATGGTATTTATGTTGTTTTTTAAAGTAATTTGTATTAGTTTTGGCTGAGGAAATTTCATAAGTTTTGTGTACTTTCCGTACTTCAAACGTATGACATGTGATGTCATTGATTTAGGCATTCTTGTCACAACTATAAACACTTTTCCGGTTGCATAATTAAAACAGTTTTTCTACATTTGAATAAGCCTTTATTTTTTTATTTTTCTTCTTTAAATAAAATTTTGTTTATACATTTAAAACATCCACCGTATTATTTTCGAACAAAAGTCCGTATCAAGTTGTCCTTTATCACTAAAGATACTGTTATGAAAGCCTGTGAAAATATTTTGCACATGGGCTTTTATATACTAGGATATATATGTATTTTTAAATACTTTTATTTGCTACTATAAGTAAAAGCAATGATAAAAACATTAACATTTTTTTCATATTACAAATTTTATTTATATATAGATCTAGATCAATATTAGAGAATTACTAGTGATTATTGTACAAATGTTGAAAAAAATGTTTTAGCATGTTTAAAATTGTTTGAACACTTGGTTTTTATTTTTCAAAATATGACTGAAATTTTAACTAGGAAGCAGTTCATTCTTGTGCTTACTTAATTTTGACCAAGCTTATATTATTAAAAATAACCTACTCAACCTAGGCAATCTAAATACATACCTAATATCTACCTAGCCACAAGAACTGTCCTCTTTGTATCAAGCTACCAAAGTTGCTTCCCTTTGTACCTACCCCCACCAGAATTGCTTCCCTTTATTAGCCACCTTTTGCACATTGTACTGCAGCATTATTTGTACAAGATAAGTCCTCCTCTAGCTAGCTGATTTACAAGTATGCCAGTAGATGTAAGAGAATCCCTGCCTTATAAATCATTGGCTCTAGAAATATCTATCTTATCACACAAGTAATTATGAAATAATTTGACAAGTAAATTTGTTCTTCTTTCCTGATATACTGGTATTTGAAAACTTTATTTACTAAGGGACAGCAGAAGACATGCTGACCTTTTATTCACATTGGCCATTAAGTTTAGCTGAAGATATTTTTATCTTCCATAATATTAACCTTCAGAAGTAAAAGCTGTGTCTGGGGCTTGTTTGACAAAAGGTTACTTTCATAAAGGAGAGTTCCTATGATGTATGACTGCACCCATACATTAGCTTGGTTACCTAGATAAATATAGACCAGCATGGTACACTGCTGGCACAGCATCCGTTGAATGGTTGATGATGTGGCTTAACCTCATTTTTGTCCTTCATACGTCCACAACTTGACTGTACATTACTTGAAGTTTTTGTTTTATCATACAAGATATTGTTCTATATCAGAATGTAGCCAAATTATAATGAGAGAACTTGACTGTGCATTACTTGAAGTTTTTTTATCATACAAAAAGGTGTTCTATATTAGAATGTAAACCTATTATGAAGTGTGGTGTTGCACATGCAAGTAATGTATCACATAAGTCCGAGATGGATGCTAATTAGTTTATTTTAATTGACTAAGTAGGCCCTACAATTATCACTGAGCGTAATTAGTTTTTAATCAGTGTGAGTAGCAAACTAGGTTAGATTGGGAACTAAAATGGTGAGGTGTGGGGGGGGGGGACTTAAAATGGTGACTTGAGGACTTAAATGAAGGACAAATGCACGACTAAAATGGGGATTAAAATGGAGGACATCAATTGAGGACATAAAAGGTAGACTTCAATGGAGGACTAAAATAGACGACATTAATTGGGAGACTTCAATGGAGGACATAAATGGGAAACTTCATTGGAGGACTGTAATGGGAGACTTCAATGGAGGGCATAAATAGGAGACCAATGGAGGACTGTAATGAGAGACTTAAATGAGGGATAAAAATGGTGGACTGATGCCCCAACTCCCTCATTAGAAGAACTAAAGAAAATAACAAATAAGCACATTAAGCATCAGTACCCCAGCAATACCTGGATTAGAGTTTTTACAGATGGCTCAGCTGAAGATGCCACAAAAAAATGGAGGGGCTGGCATCCTTATTGAATGGCCAAGCGGAGAAAGCCTGGAAAAGTCAATAGCCACAGGCAGCCTATCCGACAATTTTAGGGCAGAAAAAGAAGCTTTAGAGCATGCAGCAAACCTCCTGTCAGAACACCCTGAATCACCAAATAGTCAGATAGTATTTCTTACAGATGCCAAATCTGTCCTGCAATCCCTAAAAAATCCAGAGTCCTATACTCAATCACTTAGGACAGCACTAGAAAGGCTAATAAATACCTGCAGCAGAATTGTGCTGCAGTGGATCCCGGGCCACTGCCAGATCCAGGGTAATGAGATTGCGGACCAGCTGGCAAAAATTGGGGGAAAGAAACAACAACCGGAAATCTCGCTACACCCAAAAGAAATAAAAAGAATAATAAAAAACAAACAAACGCAAATATGGTCTGACACACACCCTCACTACAATAAAGATGATGGATATTATAATTTGACACGAAAACAACAATACATAATCTTTCGACTTAGAACAGGCCATAACAGACTAAATCAACACATGCATAAAAAACTAAAGGTGGGTGTGGCGAAATGTGCCCTTGTGGCAAGGCCCTGGAAAATACGGAGCACGTCCTTCAGGAATGTTTTTTGTATAACCAGGCGCGAGTCAGACACTGGCCCCTGCTCACCCCACTCAGGGAAAAATTATATGGGGCACTTGCTGATCTGGAGACCACAGTCCGGTTTGTTCACGAAGTTGGACTTGTTGTCTAAATCCTCCACCATATTCTCAATTAAGAATGAAGAAGAAGAAGAAGAAGTGCCTGGCCTAAGAGTAAACTCAGCTTGTAAATGAGACAGAATAGCACTAGTAACTAATCTAAGGTGGTCATTACAACTGTTCAACTCTGTTGGTCTGGCTTTTCCATTTTTAATTCTGTGACCTTTTAAACTAGATGTTTACTTGTAAACCATCACTTGCCACTGGTTGACTAAAACATAGTGCTTGTAGCAATATACCATTTCAGCATACTTAGATGATATATTTAAAATATCACACAAACAGACAATCCAAAGTATACTTTTTCAGCACAATTAGATGATACATCTAAAATATCACACAAACACACCATCCAAAGCATACTTTGTAAAGGAAATAAAAAATAGAATACTTTAAAATACTGACTGACTGACTGTCAAATTTATGTTAACATTTTGATCATCAGATACTGAAGGTGATGAAACTTATGGATGAGATTGGCAATTTCCTGAGCCTGGTCTGGAAGCTGAATCCTCCCAGCCTGCTCTCAGATTGCCTGGTGGAGATATTCCGCATCATCTCATCCCCCAGAACAGAACTGTCTGCAGAACCAGCCATTTCCTTAGCCACTGTCGTCAAGCACATACCCATTGAGTTTGCCAACAGGGTAGGTAGAATAAATTGTCAAAAACATACCCATTGAGTTTGGCAACAGGGTAGGTAGAATAAATTGTCAAGCAGATACCCATTGAGTTTGCTAACAGGGTAAGTATAGTAAATAATATTTGATACGTAGAGGGCATGGTGGAGTGGTAAAGCACATGAAGGCACATGATTTGTGTGTTTAAATCCTAGAGCTAAAGCCAGCTCTGGATGGTGAGTAAAGGCAACTGGGTATAGTGCTTCTTACTTAAAAAAAAAGAAACAGATAATTTCTACTTTATCTTCTGCACTTTGTGCCATTGTAAAGTATAGTATCTCCCCAAAAACGAAGTGAGGGGGGGGGGTATATAAAAATGTTGGGATGAAAATCAATATCATTTCTTAAGTTATTGAATAACAACATTAAACAAACTTTTATTTGTGTGTATGAAAGTGAAAATATGAAGTTTTTATTTGGCTTGTCCTTATTGTAATGGTATGTAAAAAAGTAGTAAATTTGATTGCATGTACTGCACACATCTTTGGAGAAAGTACCACACATGTTGCTGTTGTTTGCTTCAGGTTGTCAAAGATGTGGTAACTGACACCACCATCAGTGACGAATCCATCGGGACGGCAGTGGGGCAGATAGTTGAGTGGCTCAAGTGGCCCATGGCCCAGAATGTGGACCTGTGGCTATCCTGCTTCCTGACAGAGCTGGCCCTCAACCACCGGTACACGCTGTTGGTACAGATCACAGAGACCAACACAGAGCAGGTAGGTTCTGGCCTGTCTAAGACCAACACAGAGCAGGTAGGTTCTGGCCTGTCTAAGACCAACACAGAGCAGGTAGGTTCTGGCCTGTCTAAGACCAACACAGAGCAGGTAGGTTCTGGCCTGTCTAAGACCAACACAGAGCAGGTAGGTTCTGGCCTGTCTAAGACCAACACAGAGCAGGTAGGTTCTGGCCTGTCTAAGACCAACACAGAGCAGGTAGGTTCTGGTCTAAGACCAACACAGAGCAGGTAGGTTCTGGTCTAAGACCAACACAGAGCAGGTAGGTTCTGGCCTGTCTAATACCAACACAGAGCAGGTAGGTTATGGCCTGTCTAAGACCAACACAGAGCAGGTAGGTTCTGGCCTGTCTAAGACCAACACAGAGCAGGTAGGTTCTAGCCTGTCTAAGACCAACACAGAGCAGGTAGGTTCTGGCCTGTCTAAGACCAACACAGAGCAGGTAGGTTCTGGTCTAAGACCAACACAGAGCAGGTAGGTTCTAGCCTGTCTAAGACCAACACAGAGCAGGTAGGTTCTAGCCTGTCTAAGACCAACACAGAGCAGGTAGGTTCTAGCCTGTCTAAGACCAACACAGTGCAGGTAGGTTCTAGCCTGTCTAAGACCAACACAGAGCAGGTAGGTTCTAGCCTGTCTAAGACCAACACAGAGCAGGTAGGTTCTAGCCTGTCTAAGACCAACACAGAGCAGGTAGGTTCTGGCCTGTCTAAGACCAACACAGAGCAGGTAGGTTCTGGTCTAAGACCAACACAGAGCAGGTAGGTTCTAGCCTGTCTAAGACCAACACAGAGCAGGTAGGTTCTAGCCTGTCTAAGACCAACACAGAGCAGGTAGGTTCTGGCCTGTCTAAGACCAACACAGAGCAGGTAGGTTCTGGTCTAAGACCAACACAGAGCAGGTAGGTTCTAGCCTGTCTAAGACCAACACAGAGCAGGTAGGTTCTAGCCTGTCTAAGACCAACACAGAGCAGGTAGGTTCTGGTCTACCTGTGGGTTTTCACACAGGGCTCAAGATAAGGGTTTGTTTACACTGACAGACTGCTAGAAGAGATTTGATAATAGAGTTTTTACTCTTGGTGGTATTCATGTTTCATTAGTGGGATCAGAATTGAGGGTTCCCACCTGTTTGAGTGGGGGTATATCAGATCTGTCAGTGACAGTGTGTGGGGTATATCAGATCTGTCACTGACAGTGTGTGGGGTATATCAAATCTGTCACTGACAGTGTGTGGGGTATATCAGATCTGTCACTGACAGTGTGTGTGTGGGGGTATATCAGATCTGTCACTGGCAGTGTGTGGGGTATATCAGATCTGTCACTGACAGTGTGTGGGGTATATCAGATATGTCACTGACAGTGTGTGGGGTATATCAGATCTGTCACTGCTAGTGTGTGGGGTATATCAGATCTGTCACTGCTAGTGTGTGGGGTATATCAGATCTGTCACTGCTAGTGTGTGTGTGGGGTATATCAGATCTGTCACTGCTAGTGTGTGGGGTATATCAGATCTGTCACTGCTAGAGTGTGTGGGGTATATCAGATCTGTCACTGCTAGTGTGTGGGGTATATCAGATCTGTCACTGACAGTGTGTGGGGTATATCAGATCTGTCACTGCTAGAGTGTGTGGGGTATATCAGATCTGTCACTGCTAGTGTGTGTGTGTGGGGTATATCAGATCTGTCACTGCTAGACCGTGTGGGGTATATCAGATCTGTTCCTGCTAGTGTGTGGGGTATATCAGATCTGTCACTGCTAGAGTGTGTGGGTATAATGGATTTGTTACTGCTATCTTGTGTGGGGTATATCAGATCTGTTCCTGCTAAAGTGTGTGGGGTATATCAGATCTGTCACTGCTAGAGTGTGTGGGGTATATCAGATCTGTCACTGCTAGAGTGTGTGGGGTATATCAGATCTGTCACTGCTAGTGTGTGGGGTATATCAGATCTGTCATTGCTAGAGTGTGTGGGGGTATATAAGATCTGTCATTGCTAGAGTGTGTGGGGTATATCAGATCTGTTCCTGCTAGAGTGTGTGGGGGTATATCAGATCTGTCATTGCTAGAGTGTGTGGGGGTATATCAGATCTGTTCCTGCTAGAGTGTGTGGGGGTATATAAGATCTGTCATTGCTAGAGTGTGTGGGGTATATCAGATCTGTTCCTGCTAGAGTGTGTGGGGGTATATAAGATCTGTCATTGCTAGAGTGTGTGGGGTATATCAGATCTGTTCCTGCTAGAGTGTGTGGGGTATATCAGATCTGTTCCTGCTAGAGTGTGTGGGGTATATCAGATCTGTTCCTGCTAGAGTGTGTGGGGGTATATAAGATCTGTCATTGCTAGAGTGTGTGGGGTATATCAGATCTGTTCCTGCTAGAGTGTGTGGGGTATATCAGATCTGTCATTGCTAGAGTGTGTGGGGGTATATAAGATCTGTCATTGCTAGAGTGTGTGGGGTATATAAGATCTGTCATTGCTAGAGTGTGTGGGGTATATCAGATCTGTCATTGCTAGAGTGTGTGGGGTATATCAGATCTGTTCCTGCTAGAGTGTGTGGGGGTATATAAGATCTGTCATTGCTAGTGTGTGTGGGTGATATATCAGATCTGTTACTGACAATGTTTGAGGGGTATTTCAAGTGTGTGTGGGGTATATCACTGCTTGTGTTATATATTATTTCTGTGAGATGTATATAAGATATGTTACACTTTTTAACCAAAAAAGAAACATGAAATGAATGCCCCCTTAGTGCCATTAAAGATAGCTATGGGTGGTGAGCCAATGGTCATGTAACTAATTAGTTCAGAGGGGTCATGTAACTAATTAGTTGTTGCTATTTTAATTTCTCTCTATTGAGTGTATATTTGAATAGCAACTGTTCTCTGTTCTTGTCTAGGTGGTTGACAACTTAGCCTACCCTCAGCTCTGGAATGCTTCCTTCAAGATTCTCTCACAAATGTTACTCAGTTACCAGCGGTCACCCAGCCCATTTCATAAGGTAGATTTTATTTCATCATTTAACTACTGGGGGTGTGGTGTGGAAAACACTCTTAGAGCCCCTTGGAAAAAAATATTTTCAATACTTTTTGTGTACCTTGGTCTGGTGCCATGTCTGAACATTTTTATACTGAAGCTTTGCATTGAATTTGTGCAAGAAGAAGCTTTAAAAAAATGAATTTATACTTCAGTTACACATTTTCTCTTTTAAAAACGTATGTCATTCTGTCTTACTCAAATTGTTTAATCTTACTATAAAAAAAAAATCATTTAGCTGGTTGCTTTTATCTTTCTTTGGTTGAGTATGGTTGAGTGAATATTATCATAAATCTATAAAACTAAAGAGGGGGTAGATAGAGAGCAAACTAATAAGTCAAGTTTTTAATTTCACCTTGGACATCTAAGCCAAACAACTTTGTTTTGTTACTTACATACAAAAAGTTGTAATTTATTAAAGTACTTATCTAATGTAGGCATCAACACTCATTGAACTTTGGTCTGGGGTTTTATGATGATGTCTTGCTATCTACCGTTGAAAAATCTGGTTTAATGCTGATCTGTCGCTATAAAATGAAGTAGCTTGTTGTGGTATAACTTTATAGTAGGACTATGTCTATAGCTGCGGAGATATAGTCTCATACTAAATATACTTATGGGCCTGAGTGATATTCAGTGTAATAAAACAGGAACTCTGCTGAGACAGAGTCCTGGTGTTGGTGCTGGCTCATTACAATATTACATTCTCAGTAATCTTGAACTGCAACAGAACAATTTAAAAAAAAAATCTGATCTTTGAAAACAGAACCTGATTCTGTAAGAATAGCTTTTACCTATCTATGCCTCCCCCTCCAACATAGCACAGTGTGTGTGTGCCCTTAAGCCTTATATATGCCCCCCCCCAACATAGCACAGTGTGTGTTCCCTTATGCCCAATCTATGCCCCCCAAACATAGCACAGTGTGTGTTCCCTTATGCCCTATCTATGCCCCCCCTCCAAACATAGCACAGTGTGTGTTCCCTTATGCCCAATCTATGCCCCCCTTCCAACCCCTCCAACATAGCATAGTGTGTGTGTGTTCCCTATATGCCTTGGTGTTTGTTCTAGCAATCTTATCCTGTGTTGTGTTGTAGATAGCCATGAGTGATCTTTTACCCTAGCATGTTCTTCTCTCCCCTGTCTGTTCTTACACAGTACCAACATAGCTGAGTCTTTTAGCTGCCCCGTATAGCAGTGTACTTTTCACTGGTCAAGTAATCTATGTGGGATTATCATAGGGTGGTCAGTATGGGATTATCATAGGGTGGTCAGTATGGGATTATCATAGGGTGGTCAGTGTAAGATTATCAAAAGGTGGTCACTGTAGGATTATCAAAGGGTGGTCAGTGTAGGATTATCAAAGGGTGGTCAGTGTATGATTATCAAAGGGCAGTCAGTGTAGGATTATCAAGGTGTGGTCAATATAGGATTTTCAAAGGGTGGTCAGAATAGGATTATTAAAGGGTGGTCAGTGTATGATTATCAAAGTGTGGTCAATTTAAGATTATCAAGGAGTGGTCAAATACAGGATTATCAAAGAGTGGTCAGTATAGGATTATCAAAGGGTGGTCAGTGTAGGATTATCAAAGAGTGGTCAGTATAAGTCTATCAGAGGGTGGTCAATACGTTTCTCAGATAAGGCCAAAGTGGTCCATTGCCCACATTATGAGGACCATCGACTTTTAAAACACAACTTATTCCTCTCGGCTGACAAACATTCAAGCATACATTTGTCAACTTGTGCAGAATTCTCATAAGCTGCTAGATGGCCACAGTTAAATTGAGACAATTGACATTTTAAAAAATGTAAAAACAGATTATAAATTATACTTTAATATGTAGCCATCTATAAGGTTTTTTACAGGTTCTATGGTTTAGGTTATTATCTCTTGAGATCCATTGTACTCTCCCAACAATTAGAAATAAATCATAACTTCTATTTATTACCACAGCTGGCCATCTATTACCAAGAACTTAGCCTAATTTCCCTCGTCTAACTTAACCTGATTTTCCTTGTCTTTTATAACCATGGAGTATGTGGACTAAAAAACCAAGTGGAATAAAAAATTATTTCTGTTTATTCTTAAATTTTATTATAATCGACTTGTAAAATTTATGTTGAGGTTATGTAAATGTTAAAAGCTGTCAAAAATGTAAGTAGGGCACATGTTAGTTTTATTTAGTTTTGTTAGAGCAAATGCCATTCTTTTATTGTTTACTTTGTCTATCTTTGTAACAAAACCACTTCTGTAATCTGTGTAATAAAGTCAATAAATTTAAGAACTATTTTAAACTGCTGTTCCAATCTAGTAGGATGATTTAAGCATCATTACTAGTGATGTTGTAAGAGGAATGTCATCTATTAGTGATGTTGGTAAGAGGGATGTCATCTATTAGTGATGTGGTAAAAGGGATGTCATCTATAAGTGATTAAGGTAGGATGGATGTCATTTATTATTGATGTTGGTAGGATGGATGTCATCTATAAGGGATGTTGGTAAAAAGGATGTCATTTATTATTGATGTTGGTAATAGGGATGTAATCTATTAGTGATTGTGGTTGGATGGATATCATCTATTAGTGATGTTGGTAAAAGGGATGTCATCTATTAGTGATGTTGGTAAAAGGGATGTCATCTATTAGTGATGTTGGTAGGATGGATATCATCTATTAGTGATGTTGGTAGGATGGATATCACTTATTATTGTTGATGTTAGTATAAGACAAGGTTAGTGTGCTGTACCTTATATGAAATGTAATAGTTCAAAAAAATTTAAGCCGTAAGCCATGTGAGACTATAATATATTTTATAGCCTTTCAAGCACACCCACAATAAATGTAGTATTGTGATTTTAATGGCTGCTGTTGTATATTGAAACTTGCGTGTTTTGGCTAATAAAAACATTCACATTTTATAGCCTCTCTAGCCAGGCAGAATTTAAAACAAGTACAAACATATTTGCTGCCAAGATTTCTAGAGCAATCTATTTTTATTTGGAGAGCTAAAGAAAATTTATTTTCTTATATTTAGTGCATTAAAAACCTGTTACTATAATTATTTTTATTTTGTACTTCTTGGTATTTAGATATTTTAAAAATACAGGAGAAAGTTGGTGTTTAAGTTTAAAAAAAAATTAGTACAATTTTTTATTCTTTCTACAGTGTTTGTTCTTACTAAATCAACACTTGACATAACTCCAAATATATGCTTTAAAACCCAATCAGTAACTCTAAACAAGAGTTATCTGCCCTTTACTAGAGCCAGTGATTGCCCCCTCAAATTAAAAACTGTCCTCAACACAGTCACCTGTCTGAGAGACAGTAGCGTAGTGAGGGGGGGGGGGGGGCGGGACATATGTCCCCGGGCGCCGACCTTAGGGGGCGCCAAAATGGGTTGGAAAAATAAATTGAAAGGTTGAGGTGGGGGATACAAATCGAAATCTCGAGGGGGGGGGTGCAAATGCAAATCAAAATCTCGAAGGGGGGTGCAAATTGAAAAGTTTGTCGCCGGGCGCCGGGAAGGGTCGCTACGCCTCTGCTGAGAGATCACAACTTCCTACTCTTGTTATCTTCTTCACTTAATCTTTGAAATTAACTTTAATAACTAATCTAATATCTAATTAGAGTGGGAATGAGATATTCTGATGCTGTTATTGACAAAAAAATGTATCTGGAAAGAAATGGGTCCTTATTGAGTTACAAAAAGCACAAACCAACAGCCACACAGTTTGCCCTAAGTAGTTTGTAAAACAGTGTATTCAGCCCAAACAGTGACCTGAGTTATTTTACTAATATTCTAGAGATCATAAATTACTATTAAATATTTCAGTTTTAAAGGAAGGGGTCGTCCATAAATGACGTCACACCCATAGGGGGGGAGGGGGGTCCGTAATTTTGTGATGGTGTGTGATGAGGGGAGGGGTGGGGGGTTCAGATGGTGTGACGTCACTTTTTTTGCATTATAAAAAAGCAATATTAGAAAACGAGTTTTAGCCTTTATTTCGCGTTTTAGAAAATAGTTTTAATAAATTGTAATAGGAATTGATCAAAATACTCTATGTTGAGAGAGTTCAGACAAGATTTTGGAAAAATATCAATGTTTTAAGTAAAATTCAACAGCAATTTTGAGATGTATTGTAGGCTGAGGTGTGACGTCATTTTAGGGGGGGGGGGGTCTGGCTTTTTGTGACGATGTGTGATGGAGGGGAGGGGGGGAATAGTTTTAAAAAAGCGTGACGTCATTTATGGATGACCCCGAAATTTTTTTTTTAATCTTCGGTGTACCAGGCTCTATATTTTTCCAAGATAAATCAGATTGGAAAGCATTGTACAAAAACACTATCTTTTTGTTCTTGTGAAGTTTGGTGAACGTAATTTACATGATGCTTTTACTCTGCTAAGTTACTGCAATTTGATTGCGCCAAATAGGCCCTACTGGCAGAGGATGTTTTGATTCATGAAAATGATATTTTCTCTGTTTTTTTAGTTATTCATATAGGTGGGTTATTAACAAAAGATTTAATGGGCGGTCGTAAAAATTGTATTCCAAGGCTTGAAATTTATTTTCTAGAAAAAAAAATCTGCTTGAATATGATACCCAAATTAAAAGAGTCCTTAAACCATCAAAGAATGGATCTTGTTTATAGTGGGTACAGTATTCTAGTGTGCTGTGAAATATGACTTCTAATATGGTTTAAACTAAACAAAAATTGGGATCTAAAGAAAAGAAAACAAACCAGATTTCAGCTTGTCTGGCTTGATTGAGTGTGGTAACATGTAGATAGCTTTGTTTACCCAGGCACTGGGCCAAAACACATAAACATGATCCCTCTGTCATGTGCCCTCTACAGCCAACAATGAGTTGGCTTTTTAATTGATAGCAGCCATTCACACTGCATTGTTGTCTCTGGGTTCTTATTTAACTTGTAGTAGAAGAGGTCACACTGCCCCGCTTGTTGTTAACATAAGAGGTTATACTATGTTAGCCTCATCTTAAATTAACAGAACAGGTCACACCTCTAATTAACACAGCAGGTCATACTCACCACTTCTAATTAACAGAATAGGTCACACCTTTAATTAATGCAACGGGTCATACCGCCCCCACCTCTAATTAACACAACAGGTCATACCGCCCCCACCTTTAATTAACAGAACAGGTCACACCTCTAATTAACACAGCAGGTCATACTGCCCTACCTCTAATTAACACAACAGGCCCCACTGCCCCCAACTCTAATTAATACAACAGGTCATACCGCCCCCACCTCTAATTCATAGAACAGGCCACACTGTCCCTGCTTATTTCCTGAAGTGTATTAGATCCAGGGATGAACCGCTTGAGAACCCCTGACCTAGTCCAGATTGTAATTCACTGTAAACATGGGCCCAGTTAGTGCCAGTTATAGACCTTACACCAGAACTGAGATAACCACCAAGTCTACACCTCACCTTGTTTGCCTTGTACATTCCACATCATCCACTCTGGTCATTAGATACACTCAACATTTCAATAGATGGCATTGTAAAGCCAGACAGAATTTGTGTCTGGCTATTTATCTCAGTTTCTTTAAGTCTGTCTTAAATTAATTGAAAATAAATATGGGGTTAGTGTATATTGTGCACATTTGATTTGGATACACATAATCATATTATTTTGAAATAATTTATAGTGTGATTGTTTCTATTTGTAATGGGAATAAAAATAATTCTTATCACTGTTTTGCTGACATCCATGATAATAAAAGAGCATTCTCAACATAGTTTATTAATGTGCATACATGAATGCAGTCTTAATGTGCTTGAGATAAGAACCAGAGCCTGCATTTAGAAAGAGGCAACATTCAACAATACAGCTAATGAATGATTCACAACATTCAAGCACCCAGCTAATGAATGATTCACAACATTCAACCAACCAGCTAATGAATGATTCACACCATTCAAGCACCCAGCTAATGAATGATTCACACCATTAAAGCACCCAGCTAATGAATGATTCACACCATTAAAGCACCCAGCTAATGAATGATTGACAAGGTTTCCCTTGTTTCTCTACCAGGCACTGGAGAAAGTCCCCTGTATCATAGCTGTGCTGAGGAAGGAAGGAACCAAGCAGAGCCAAGCCAACCTGGTCAAGCTGTCTCAGCTCCTGCACTGCCTCATGTACCTGCACACAGGTTTCCCTGAGTTGTATGACCCCATCCTGGACCTTATCAAGGTGAGTCACCCCATCCCTGACCTTATCAAGGTGAGTCACTGACCCCATCCTGGACCTTATCAAGGTGAGTTGTATGACCCCATCCTGGACCTTATCAAGGTGAGTTGTATGACCCCATCCTGGACCTTATCAAGGTGAGTTGTATGACCCCATCCTGGACCTTATCAAGGTGAGTTGTATGACCCCATCCTGGACCTTATCAAGGTGAGTTGTATGACCCCATCCTGGACCTTATCAAGGTGAGTCACCCCATCCTGGACCTTATCAAGGTGAGTCACTTAACCCATCTTGGACCTTATCAAGGTGAGTCACCCCATCCTGGACCTTATCAAAGGGAGTTAGTTACCCCATCCTGGACCTTATCAAGGTGAGTCACTGACCCCATCCTGGACCTTATCAAGGTGAGTTGTATGACCCCATCCTGGACCTTATCAAGGTGAGTCACTTACCCCATCCTGGACCTTATCAAGGTGATTCACTGACCCCATCCTGGACCTTATCAAGGTGAGTCACCCCATCCTGGACCTTATCAAGGTGAGTCAGTTACCCCATCCTGGACCTTATCAAGGTGATTCACTGACCCCATCCTGGACCTTATCAAGGTGAGTCACCCCATCCTGGACCTTATCAAGGTGAGTCAGTTACCCCATCCTGGAATTTATCAAGGTGAGTTAGTTACCCCATCCTGGACCTTATCAAGGTGAGTCACTGACCCCATCCTGGACCTTATCAAGGTGAGTCACTGACCCCATCCTGGACCTTAGTAATGTGAGTCCTTTAACCCATCCTGGACCTTATCAAGGTGAGTCACTTAACCCATCCTGGACCTTATCAAGGTGAGTCACTGACCCCATCCTGGATCTTATCAAGGTGAGTCACCCCATCCTGGACCTTATCAAGGTGAGTCACTGACCCCATCCTGGATCTTATCAAGGTGAGTCACCCCATCCTGGACCTTATCAAGGTGAGTTGTATGACCCCATCCTGGACCTTATCAAGGTGAGTTACTTACCCTATCCTGGACCTTATCAAGGTGAGTCCTTTAACCCATCCTGGACTTTATAAAAGTGAGTTTATGAGCCTCATTCTGGATCTTTAACAGTCTTATCCAACCCTGGACCTTGTGAAAGCAATCTACTGACCTAATCCAGGACCTTATCACGTAATGATTCAGTAACAAAATACTTTCCTTCTTGTTTATCTCCCAGGACTTGCCCACCCCTAGTACAGATGAAATCAAGACAAAGCTCCAGCAGACCAAATGGTCATCAGTGGTCAGTGACCCTGTGCCCATAGAGACATCCTGCACAGCCACACTGTCCACAGCTGTGAAGCACCAGAAGTTGGAGACAGGCAAGACAGGGCTAGAGAACCTGGGGAACACATGCTACATGAACAGTGTGCTGCAGGCCCTGTATATGTGTGACCAGTAAGTTGGGGGGAGGGGCTCGGTGGTACATGGGTGGGACAAGACAGGGCTAGAGAACCTGGGGAACACTTGCTACATGAACAGTGTGCTGCAGGCCCTGTATATGTGTGACCAGTAAGTTGGGGGGGGGGGGGGGGGGGCTCGGTGGTACATGGGTGGGACATGACAGGGCTAGAGAACCTGGGGAACACATGCTACATGAACAGTGTGCTGCAGGCCCTGTACATGTGTGACCAGTAAGTTGGGGGGGGGGGGCTCGGTGGTACATGGGTGGGACATGACAGGGCTAGAGAACCTGGGGAACACATGCTACATGAACAGTGTGCTGCAGGCACTGTATATGTGTGACCAGTAAGTTGGGGGGGGGGGGGCTCGGTGGTACATGGGTGGGACATGACAGGGCTAGAGAACCTGGGGAACACATGCTACATGAACAGTGTGCTGCAGGCCCTGTACATGTGTGACCAGTAAGTTGGGGGGGGGGGGCTCGGTGGTACATGGGTGGGACATGACAGGGCTAGAGAACCTGGGGAACACATGCTACATGAACAGTGTGCTGCAGGCACTGTATATGTGTGACCAGTAAGTTGGGGGGGGGGGGCTCGGTGGTACATGGGTGGGACATGACAGGGCTAGAGAACCTGGGGAACACATGCTACATGAACAGTGTGCTGCAGGCACTGTATATGTGTGACCAGTAAGTTGGGGGGGGGGGGGGGGGGCTCGGTGGTACATGGGTGGGACATAACAGGGCTAGAGAACCTGGGGAACACATGCTACATGAACAGTGTGCTGCAGGCCCTGTATATGTGTGACCAGTAAGTTGGGGGGGGGGGGGGGGCTCGGTGGTACATGGGTGGGACATGACAGGGCTAGAGAACCTGGGGAACACGTGCTACATGAACAGTGTGCTGCAGGCCCTGTATATGTGTGACCAGTAAGTTGGGGGGGGGGGGGGCTTGGTGGTACATGGGTGGGACATGACAGGGCTAGAGAACCTGGGGAACACGTGCTACATGAACAGTGTGCTGCAGGCCCTGTATATGTGTGACCAGTAAGTTGGGGGGGGGGGGCTTGGTGGTACATGGGTGGGACATGACAGGACTAGAGAACCTGGGAACACATGCTACATGAACAGTGTGCTGCAGGCCCTGTATATGTGTGACCAGTAAGTTGGGGGGGGGGGGCTCGGTGGGACATGGGTGGGACATGACAGGGCTAGAGAACCTGGGGAACACATGCTACATGAACAGTGTGCTGCAGGCCTTGTATATGTGTGACCAGTAAGTTGGGGGGAGGGGCTCGGTGGTACATGGGTGGGACATGACAGGGCTAGAGAACCTGGGGAACACTTGCTATATGAACAGTGTGCTGCAGGCCTTGTATATGTGTGACCAGTAAGTTGGGGGGGGGGGGGTGGGACATGACAGGGCTAGAGAACCTGGGGAACACGTGCTACATGAACAGTGTGCTGCAGGCCCTGTATATGTGTGACCAGTAAGTTGGGGGGGGAGGGGTGGACAGGATGGGTGGGACATGACAGGGCTAGAGAACCTGGGAACACATGCTACATGAACAGTGTGCTGCAGGCCCTGTATATGTGTGACCAGTAAGTTGGGGGGGGGGGGGGGGGCTTGGTGGTACATGGGTGGGATATATGGGACATATGTCACTGTGACATATGCATTAACTTTGATGTATTTAATGTCACTGTGACATATGTGTTAACTTTTATGTATTTAAGTTTGACACACCCCTTTCATGACATATGAACTGTGATATACAAAACTGTGACATATGCAAGTGACATACCAACTATAATCAACTATGACATGCTCAATAGTGATAAACTTGGCTAGCGACATCAACAGTATCACAGTTGGCACTACCTGAAAGAATGTGTACCTTAACATTGATGTAGTGAAGATGACACATTGAAAGCTTGGTATCTTGATTACCCACTGTACCATAACTAGACGTCTTTACCCCATACAACTTTGTCTAGCCTAAGTTTACTCATGTGTTGGCCTTGTACAGGTTCAGGAGAGGCATCTTGAACAAAGCACCATCAGGACGTGAGACCCTACTGGTCAAGCTCCAGCATGTCTTTGCCATGTTGAGTCAGTCCTCTGTAAGTTATGCAGCTTTTATTCAGTTTATCCAAATAATTTTTTTTTCACCTACTAATAAAAACTTTTTTTTTTAAATTTAACTCTTTGAGAATAGGAATAAATATTAATTTATTTGTTAATGCATTATTTATTTTAAACAATTATTTATTTAAACTTTTTTTCTTTTAAACATTTAACTCTATGAGAATAAGGAATAAATAATAATTTTCTGTAAATGCTGAATGTTTTTGGAAGACTTATTTATTTAAAAAAAAATGTAATGTTACCATGTTAGTAATTAATTAATTTTTTAAATGTGATTCCCCCAGCGCCCAGCCATTGCCCCAACCAAATTCCTGCAGGCGTCACGCCCGCCATGGTTCCAGCCTGGCCACCAGCAAGACTGTTCAGAGTTCCTCAAGTACCTCTTGGACCAGCTGCACGAGGATGAGAAGACAGCCAGCGCCAAAACCCTGATGAAAAGTCCATCCACTGGCTCCATGTCCAATGAGAATTTCAAAATGACAGATGGCTCCGTGGGTAAAGGGAGCAAGAAAGCCACGGTCATGCTGACGGCAATTAAAAAGATGACAGAGGAGGAGATGAATGGGGGTGGCAGCTCGGAGAGTGATAAACTTTCTCAGCAGCCCCCAACGCTTGTAGAGAACACTTTCCGCGGTAAAGTCCAAACCACCCTGAGGTGCCTGGCCTGCAAGCAGGAGTCCCAGAGGGTGGAGAGCTTCTCAGATATCCCCCTGGCGTTTCCAAACGCTTCCAAATCCTCCGACTACCCTCACAAGATTCTTGCGGGCGGGAGTGGCGTCCCCACGTCTAACAGCGTCCCCGAGAGCCCGCAGTCTGAGAAGAGCTTAGATTTTTCTTCTATGTCAGAGGGCAGCAAGGGTACCTTCACGTTGAATGATTTGATTTCCTTCTACCTGAAGCCAGAGATGCTGACTGGGGACAACAAGTACCACTGTGACAGCTGTGGGAAGCTTCAGGATGGGGAGAGGAGGATCCACATCCTCGAATCCCCGCAGTACCTCATCCTAACACTTCTCCGGTTTTCATACGACACTAAACTCCAAACCCGTACAAAGATCTTTCAGGATGTGCGTTACCCCCGTACGCTGGCTGTGCCGGTGTGTAAACCTGCGTCCTCCCCGACTGACTCTAAATCAAACCCATTAAAGCACCACACACGGGCTGGCAGTTTGTCTGGGATGCATTCAAGAAGCAATAGTTTAAAAAACCCAGTTCACTTGGCCAAGCTTGAGGGCATCGCCCAGAAGCTGGCGCCGTCATGCGAGGGCGTTAACCCCGGCTACCAGTTCTGTGATTTGTACGGCCTCTCCGCCGTCATCGTGCATTCGGGCGTGTCCTCGGAGTGTGGCCACTACTACTGCTACGCCCGCCACTCCCAGGCTGGTCAGATAGACTTGAGCCTGCTGGACAGGGCGGGGGAGGACTACGAGAACCTTGACCTTCTTCCAGACAAGTGGTACAACTTTAACGACAGCAGAGTGTCACATGCTCATTTTGAAACATTCAGGTCAGTACTTTTGGGGAGCTGGGTCACCCCCTTTGTTAATTGCTCCCCATTCATCACCACACCCCTTTCTCAACATTACCTCCCCCCTCCCTGTTGATTACAAAACATCCCTAAGGCTAACACTAAATTGCACCCCAACGGTAAGGTCAATGTTAAGTTTGTAGCTAGGGTTCAGGATAGGCATTCTGTACAATAACAAGCTAGTATCTAGTAACTACTGTAAAATTAGAATCCTAACATATAGCAAGAAAAGTGTTTAAAAAAGAGAATAATTTAAACTGGCGTTTTAATTTTGAAGATAATTTACTCTTCCATGCAATGGGCATAAGAAACATAAAGAGGGTTTTTGTCTGTTACACTGATTTGTCAATTGAACTATTTTAATTATTTCTCCAGACATTAAAATGGCCTATAGATAATTTAGTTACATTCTGTTATTGATTTACCTATGTTGTTGTCTTTCAAGTAATGTGACCAAAAGATTCTCCAAAGACACAGTGTATGTCCTGATATACCGTAAGATTGACACGGGTGGACAGAGCCTGGCTATTGTGTCAGACCCCATACTGAGGCCTGACTTGAGGGATGCTGTCGTCAAGGACAACGAAGCTTACCAGCTGGTCAGTGCTCATTTTTTTAACATTGTTTTTTACATAATGTCAACTATTTAAGTAATTTTCAGTGTAGATTCCACTAAAAAAGTGTTGTGTAACATAAGGTATAGCTTTTTCTTATGTATCTGTCTGACCTAAAATATTGTTGTCTTTTAATTTCATCGAAGAATAATTTTTTCCCACCAGGAACAAGAACAAGAGGCCAAAGCTATGGCCGAGCAAAGACGACGCTCCTCCTCTGCGTCGTCAACCTTCAGAAACTGGCGTGACGACGATGATGATGATGACCGAGGTGGGCGTGGCGGTCCCCCTGGGTGCGGGGACGGGTTCTGTGGTGGTCTGGATACATCTGGTTCCAGATTCGTCTTCTAAAAAAAAAAACTATTTCACCCCACAAACACTTGAGTGTAGCTGTATCTCCAGGACAGGTCTGGCCCTTCACGTTTAGATATCTTGTTCCCAGAATGTTCTAGAAGTTTATGACTGTGCCAGTACGGGTGTGAAGGGGAGCAGATGGTTACCAGAGACTCGTATGTTTGACAGAATTTACCTCCTGCCCAAGAGAGGCCTGTAAAATATTTAATCTACATAATACATGCCTAGAATTGTGTATGTGACATCTTATTCAGATGGTGCTCTTTTGTATATACTTTTTTTTTAAACTTTTAGCGTATGTTTTTAAATCAGTCTTTTTTTTTTTTCATTTAAATTTTTTAAAAATAGTTTTTAAATTTGGAAAGAAAATTTGTTGGAAAAATACATTTCTACTGTCTTAATGACTGGATCCAAAACAAATCAATAAGTTAAATATGCAAGATTTGGTTCATAATATGCAGTTAGTGACAAAACCTCTTGTAAATAGCAACTATTAAATGCAGTATAAATTTTCACATCATTAGTTTTTTAATAAAAATGTTTATAACCTTTTAAGTGTAAAGCTTTTGTTCTATGTATTATATTCATGTATTATTTGTTCATGTATACAATTTTCAGTTTTTTATTTTATTTAGAAATTTTTTTTATAAACTTTTGTTATTTTCTTATGTTGCATGTAAAACAATTTTGTTAAAATTGTGATTTGCATTTAAAACTTCAGAGGTCATACCCTAATTGCACCCAGTTCTCTTATGTCTGCTATCTAATTTATTTGTACATAATAATTTCCCTTGCCATTAACCCTTTCAGATTGAAAGCCCCACTGTATGGAGTGGTGTGGCAAGGGTTAATCTTAGTTTTCAGTATTTCTTGTTGCTTGTCTCATTTAAATATTTGTGGTATTTAAGAATAAGGATTTAGACTTATATCTGGTATATAAAATATATAAAATATATAAAATATAAGCGGTCATTCATTTATGACTTCAGTGGAGGTAGGAAAAGTCAGGGAAAAAATTTAGACTTCCGAGGAGGATTGTTTGGGGGGGGGGGGTGTCTTCTTGTGGATGTCAGCTTGATGAATTTAATTCACCTGCGTAAAAATGTGGACATTTAAAAGGCAGGGATTATGTTTAAAAACATTAAAACATCAGGTATTTAATAAATGATTTATATTTATAAAATTAGTACTTCAACTGTAAACGTGCAAGAAGGGAGACAGAGAGTTCATGAACTTTAGCAGGACATATGGCTTAATATAGGGCTGTATAGGACTAATGAAAAGAATCATTTTCAGTTTTCTTTCCATCAGTCTGCATCAGTTTTTGGTTGATATATGAGACATCATAAAAATTAAACAAGTGCTCACTATAATTATACATTTAAAAAATATTTAGTTTTTTAAAAGCATTCTTGATTCCATTTCTAGTACTGAATAACTGACATTACCAAATCAAAGAAATTATAATGTAAATGATTAGCATTGCAATGTACATATAAACCTGTTATGGAATTTGTATATTGAAAGTTTATCTTGAGAGGTTTTAAGTCTTTTAGGATGATCACAACAAGGAAGAGACAGAGGTAGGGGAGGGGGTGTACAATTCCAATTTTTGTGGATGTCATAATTGAATGACCCCTAATTATTTATTTCTTAATTGCTGTTATGTTTTTCATGTGATAATCAGCTAGTTAAACTTGGTCTGGTATTATAAAGGGTAAAATGTGTTTACAAGCAGAATTTGTTAAATAACTATATTGTATTAGTAATTTCCATTGATTAAATTATTCTAAATTATGAAATAAATTGGTTATTCCCCCCCCTTCCCCTTAAGGTAACCAGTTGCAATTACCAAACATTTCTTACTTATTTGGTGTATTGGTTGTCTGTGGAAGGGGAAGTTCAGGAATGTTACTCTTGGTGTAATGGTAGAAGTAGGGTCAGGAGTGTAAGTGTAATGGGAGGGGAGGGTCAGGAATGTTACTGTAGGTGTAATGGTAGAAGTAGGGTCAGGAGTGTAAGTGTAATGGGAAGGTTAGTAGTGTAATGGGAGGGTCGGGTCAGGAATGCTCTAGGTGTAATGGTAGAAATAGGGTCAGGAATGAAAGTGTAATGGGAGTAGTAGGGTCAGGAATATTACTGTAGGTGTAATGGTATCATTAGGATCATGAGTTAAAGTGTAATGGTAGGGGTAGGAGTGTAAGTGTAATGGGAGGGGAAGGGTCAGGAATGATACTTAAGTGTAATAGGAGTTATAGGGACATTTTTTGTTACTCTAGGTGTATTATGAGGGTGAGAGCCAGGAGTGTCTGGGGGGGGGGGGGGGTTATGGTCATGAGTGTAAGTGAAGTTGGAGGGGAAGGGTCAGGAATGATAATTAAGTGTAATAGGAGTTAGGCCTATAGGTACATATTTGTTACTCTAGGTGTATTAAGAGGGTAAGAGCCAGGAGTGTTTGGGAGGGTTATGGTCATGAGTGCACGTGAAATGGGAGTGGTATGTGCCAGGAGTGAGGTTGTTAAGTGCAAACAGTCCATACATATTAATGTATCATATAAAGTATGCCTAGGTAAAAAAAAAAAGTTTTTAAATAGGATCAGAATAATGATACATTTTTAATGAACAGTTTTTTAAGAATATTATTTTAATGTTTGTAATTAGTGAATATTTAAACAAATTATTGTAAAAAAAAGACACATAAATTGTACAATTTAAAATTGTTATTTGTACAGTTTTCAAGCTATTGCACTTTTTTTATATAAAAAACTGATATAATATCCTAGATTTTGTATTATTAATCAAATATTGAATAATGACATTGATAAAAGTATAAACTAAAACAAAAAGCAGTTGTACACAGAAATTATTTCCTTAACTTTAGATTAATCAACTGTGTTGATTCTTTAAGTTTTATGTTGAATGGTGTATTCCCATTAAAAGGTCTTGTACATTAACTGATGGCTTAAATGGCATGTCTACTTGAATTTATATGTGAAATGTCTAATTAAAATTGTTTGTTATGCATGAATAATTCAGATTTGTTATTTAAAATTTTAACATTTATCAGCAGAAAAGTGGAGCATAATTTTCTTTTATCTTAAAAGATTAAATCATTTTATTGCAAGTAAATTGCTACCCTACATTTTGAGAAATAATCATAAAAATTATATTGATATTAATAATTTAAAAAATCCTAGTTAATCATGCTTAGATTGCTACAATGTTTGCTGTAATTTTATGGAAAATTATATTTATTTTATATTTTTTTATTAATTTTATAATGTAAGTAAGTGAATTAACAATGAAACAGACAAGTTATCTAACCCTAATTTTTTCAGGTCCTTTCATAATGATCATTATTGGCCAAAAAAAAAATCTAAACATGGGTATCAACTGTTTTAAATGGCTTTCTAATTTTCTTTTTTATTAAAAAATTAACAAACAATTTTTATAGCTATAGCAGTGATCTTATAAAAATAAAATAACCTGTTTACTTTCTATTACCTTACATGGCTGTAGAAGAACGGATGGAAAACGTTGTGTATGGCTGATAGTTGTGTGCAATAAAAAAGTTGAACAGATCTAGTCTCTGCAGGGGCGTAGCGAGGGGGGGGGGTGCGGACCGCACCGGGTGACACCATTTAGGGGGGTGACACCAATGCAAAAAATAGCAAAATATATAGAGAAAAACTTGGGGGGGGGGGGGGGGTGCAAATCAAAAGAAGTGAGGGGGGGTGCAAATCGAAAACTTGAGGTGGGGGGTGCAAATCAAAAACTTGAAAGTTTGTCCCTGGGAAGGGGGGTGACACCATTAAGTGCTGCACCGGGTGACACCCGACATCGCTACGCCACTGAGTCTCTGTATTAGTTGAGTATTTAACCCAGAATTAAGACTAGGTTTTAGCGATCTATATACAAAGTCGGTATAAATTGAGTTTTTTATGCATATTGATTAAATGTATATTTTTTTCAGCATTTTTGTTCTGCGGCCACAGAAAACATTTTCACAGAACACAGTGTTCTTGTGTTTGTGTTCCATGGTAATTTTAATAATAGTATCATTTTATTAACAAAATGAAATGTTTTTTGTTTTGAAATATTTATCAAAATATAGTTTTTGTATTGTAATATTACTAATTTGGTGAATATACATTATAAAAGCAGTGTCTATCACTTAATCTGATTCATTGACCCTAAATTTTGATGAACTGTAATAATATATAGACGGGGAAATAATTTTTAAAATAATTTTAAAAACAAATTCTTAGTCAGATGTTTAATACATTTCATCATATGGGAAGCTACTCGTGTCCCATAGTGAAGAATTAAATAAACTGCTCTAGTTTGATGGTAATTTATTTTCATTCACATTACACGATTTTAATTTTTATTTGGTATAATCAGTTTGTTACTAACTTAAGTTTGTGCAAAAAGATTTTCACCAGACACATCACGTAAGTGGAGTGGTAACAGTACAGTATTAGGTTCACATTGACTAGAAGGGCAACCACTATTGGTCTCCATATGACACGAGCATCAGGGGACATAACCAAATTGATTTTTGTTCTTAAAAAATTCTGTTACTTAAAACAATAGTTTATCATTTGCCATTGATTCTGCTCCTGTTGTTATTCCATATATTTACCCCACTAATAATTTACATGTCTGTTAAGTAAAATAATATTTTTATTATTTTAATATAAAAGCCCACGCAAAATGTTATTTATTGATGTACATTACAACCAGTCCTGCAAGCCAGTTTGTTTATCATCATCTTCCAATAAAATAATTGGTCTTTACAATTACCTTGTGGAACAGTTTAACGAATTTTTTTTTGTTGTTGGGTCTGTGTTTTGACAAACTGAAGATTCACTTTTACCAATATTTATTCAATCTTTGACGGTTCATTACAGTAAAATGTTACTTTTTTGATCACCTGGTCTGGTGATTCGCTTCAGTTCAATGTGATTTATTGAGACGAACACCACTCTTTGATGGGAGGGTGTGGTCTTAAGTGGGTTCTTGTAGAACAACCCCCCCCCCCCCTCCCCCTCAGCTCTGATGGGTAAACGACTCAAGACAGAAAAAGTAAATGTGGTTGAGTATGGTATTGACCACACAATGCCGAAAGGGGTCATCCATAAATGACGTCACACTCGTAGGGGGGAGGGGGGTCCGTAATTTTGTGACGATGTGTGATGAGGGGGAGGGAGGGGGGGGGTTCAGATGTTGCGACGTCACATTTTTGCATTATAAAAAAGCAATGTTAGAAAACGAATTTTAGACGTTATTTTGCGTTTTAGATAACTGTTTTAATAAATTGTATTAGTTTAGACAAGATTTTGGAAAAATATCGATGTTTTAAAAAAATTCAACTGCAATTTTGAGGGGGGTTGTAGGTTGAGGTGTGACGTCATTTTAGGGGGGGGGGTCTGACTTTTTGTGACGACATGTGACGGAGGGGAGGGGGGGGGAGGTAAAAATCGTCCAAAAAAAGCGTGACCTCATTTATGGATGACCCCAAATATCTGCACACGTTTTAGCGTTTATAACTTATTTAGTTTTTAATATTTACACAATTAGCTGGCCGAAACATGGACTTAAACGCAGCTTTAAAATTTGAATTAAGCGTCAAATAGATAACGATGTTGAGAGAGCTGTAGAATGTGTTGAAGAAATCGGCGATCTCAAACATCAACGTCTCCACGTTGTCGTAGGCGGGGGTTTTCAGTTCCGGTACGCAGTGGTACACGGCAAGCACGGCGAAATTAGGACAGTTACACGCCGTCAGAAACAGGGCTAAAAATAGAACGATCTTCAGGAGTTTCCTTTCCCGTGACGTCAGTTGTGATGAGTCATAGTGCTTTCCGCGAAGATCGGTGTCTTTTTCGTAAATTTTCCGAACTCTGCTGGATACACGAAAGGCGTAAGTCATCCAGACGGCGCAGGCCACTATAATAATTTGACATATAACAGTCAACACTAAACTCTCCACCAAGTTGACAATTTTTTCCACTTCTGCTCTGTCCTCTGTTACAGTCCACCAGTCACGTGATTTTGTCTCATTATCTGTTGGCGCGTCCAGAACACCGAAATTAATTTTCTGTGTTGCGAAAATTGGGACGTGAATTAAAATATGACTGATGTAAATCAACGCTAAAACAAAAAGGCACCTGCACCTTGTGAATATTTCTCGGACTTTAAATGGAAAAACAACACAAAAACATCGTTCGACAGAAATCGTAGTCGTGATCCAACACGATATCAAATACGCGATGTATCGAATCCATGAAAATGCGTAAAATCGAAGAGCTAAAAAATCGATTGAGCTGTTCGGGAAGGCCATATGTGCGACATATAACCCGCACATAACGAGCTGCATGAAAGTTACACAACAGTCCGAGATGGACAGCACAAACAGGGCTGTACTCATGCTGTCTTTGAGGCCAAGTTTGCTGAAGATGACGAGGTTAATGACATTGCTGCATGCACCTATTAAGGCCACTGTCCCGTGGAGAATGATACCCAAACCAATTAAAATGTAATTAAGTATTTCGTCATTTATAACCAGATGTTCAGTAAACAAATCACCAATATCTAAACTGCCCGACATTGTATAAAGAATATGAATTTGTTGAAATCACAAAAATTTCTAAGAATTTTCCCAAATAAAAATTAAAGAAGCTAATTAAAAGTTTATTTAAAACGTTTGAATAAATCTGAAATCTGCTTTAGAAAAGAAATATTTAAATAAATCTGATAGATTTCGTACGATAAAAGTATTAAGATACATAGAACTCGTAAACTCTACGTTCAGATTGAAATATTTGAATAATATCAAACATGCACAAAGAGTTTGGTTTTAAAAGACGCATGATAAGGTACAACCACGACCAAAAAAGACGACGGATGATGACAAAATACTACAAGCAAATTCTGATGCATGTTTTGAAAGGGCTTTCTTTAAAGATGGCTGCGATTTATTTTGCTTTGGTTCTTTCTCCTAGTTGTTCAACGTAAAACTATTTAATTACACACTACACAAAGGGTTAATTAAGTGTTGTGGTATTACGATGGTTCTAAACCCACACAAAATTATATGCAATCTGGGTTTAATTAAATAATATCTAATGAAAAACTATTTTACCTAGACATTTAATTACGAAACATTGTATGAAATAAAAAGTACATCATCTATTGATTGAAGCAATAATTATGGTGTAAACACCGGTTATTAAAGTCTGATAGATGAGTTTTTTTTGTAGTGAGGGTGTGTGCACATAAAATTACTGGTTAAGGTTTACTTGATGC